GTGTGTCAAATGTCCACGTTGACTGGTTGGTTTGGGTGGAGGCGGGGACAGGCTAGGTTAGTTGAAAATGAGCGATTTATCTGCTAATTTTTACCTGTCCCTAAATGAAGTGTAATTTAGGGAGTGTATATAACTTTTATTTATGGTCTTTCGGGAGCCAAACATTCTCCAGGCTAACGTTTGATCATTTTTATTATAATACATTCAGTACCCCCTCCCTCATGTACATCCTGTTTGTTTGATTACCAGTACATGTACCATATGTTGGAAATCAGACACCAGTGAGGGACTTCTGCCTGGGTGGACATTGTAGCTGCTGCAGGGTGGGAGAGTTAGTAGCACATAGCTGAAAGGTTAGCAGAGGAGTGAAAGTGTCTGGTGTCTCAGTGTTTACCGTCGAGGACTGTTAACTGACCTGCTGATGGTTTGATGTTGGTAGGAGACGTCCTGTTGACTCACACTGTGGGCTCCTCCACTCTGGCCTCCACCCAGCTCTGTTTGACAAACGCACTCAGACACACACGCACACACACACACACACACACACATGTCACGGTGTGCTGCGATGAGTTAAGGAGTGTGTGCGCTCCTGTGAGCCCGTCCTGTTTACTCAGATGTTTTCCCACAGTCCCTGTGAAGCACGGAGGCATCAGTCTCTGAACCCCACCAGGCTGTTTAGTCTGTCGACTCTCCGCAGGTCACTGGGTCAACACCAGTGCGCACTGAAACACAGGCGTTCTCTTCACTTTCCAACTCCGACACACCAGGACCCAGTTCACATTCTTCACTCCACAGATAGGTTTTATATTTTTCGTCAGTGCAGGACTGAGCAGTGGTTCAGTCAGGTGTAAAAATGCTGACTCCAGCTCCTCGAACCATTCATTTGAAACAAAGTGGATCCTGACATTGTCGTCCTAAAATATGCCTGTGCCATTGATAAGGAAAAAAAATCAATTCATAGAAGAAATGGTCGGCCGTCCTCATCAATGTCGGGCAATAAAGTTGCTGAACCTTGACCTGTGTCCCATGAACCAAGCCCAGGGCTTAGCACAAGTGTGTACAATAGACACACACACACACACTCCCACACACACCCTGACAGCTCATATCTCTGCCAATGCCCCGTCACAGTGTAACAAAGTAAATGCAGAGTTTCAAAAAGGCCGTGCATTTATCTTCGTGCAATTCACCAGTGTTAATTTTACCGACGTACATTTTTTGTCAACAACATAGTAGGAAGTTGTGCAGAGCTAATTGAGGTAAAGGTAAAGTGTCAAAGTGAAACTGCAGTTCATATTATCCAACAGGAAAAACACTTTTTTTTCAACAATGCTCAATGACTCACGGCCTTCAACATTCTGTTTTTGATTGTTTTTAAAAATCCAGTCTGTGTATGTGTGTGTGTGTGTGTGTGTTTTGTGACTTTTACTAAAGAATGAACATGGTGTTCGGCACCTTGTGTCTCCCCCTGAGTCTCCGTGTGGCCTTGGTGGTCAGATTGCACTAGAAAAGGGCGACAGACTTTTTCAGACATCACTTTGAAACACTGGGATGTTATTATTCACATCTATGAGCGTGTTTTACAGTGAGGTTTTATGGTTAGTCCGTTCCCCAAATTGTGCAGGGAGGATGTGGTGTTTGCTCAAACCATTCTGTCTCCTAAATTTGCGTTGTCTATATTTGAAGTGTTTTTCTGGATTCTCTTGAGCAAGAACAAATAAACCCGGAGCTTACTGGGAGGCCAGCGTAAAAAGTTTCCCCGGGGATTAATGTTTTCACTTCATAACAAGGGAAATTAAATGCGAGGGTCCATGAAAGGCCCCGTCACGACTCATACATGTTGAATTTATGGTCTCTCGTGTCTTTCTAGGCCAGAAACAAAGAGACAGACGCTCTGGCTGCAGCCAAAGTGATCGAGACCAAAAGTGAGGAAGAGCTGGAAGACTACATGGTGGAGATCGACATCCTGGCCAAATGTGACCATCACTACATCGTCAAACTGCTGGATGCGTTCTACTATGAAAACAAGCTTTGGGTAAGATTAATCACAGGGGTACAACCAACGAAAACAGAAAGAACACAGAGACAACAACAGCAGGTAGATGTTTGAGTTTCACACCAGTTTTTATTTTGGCCTGGTACAATAGTGAAGAGTATAACTTTGAATTTTCTTCTTCAGTTTCATAGAGTTTGGTTGTAATCTTTCGTGTGTTCCTTTTTGTTAATTTATTTTTTAAATTCAGCTCCTGGGTCAAGTTATTTTATTTTTTTTAATCTTCCTCTGTAATCTCTCCCTGTTGAACTAGCAAAAAAATGAACACAAATAATAGTTACCTCCGACCAGGGCGCAGCATTCAATAAGTGGCAAATTACAAGGCAGCGTTTGGCTGTCCTGTTTTTTTCCCCTCCAGTGCCTTTGTGACTACTGTATATAAGAAGTAGATCAGAATTAAGTTGTTCCGGCCAATAATAAAAAAATCTTTTTAGAAAATAAGGGACGCAGTCATCTGAGAGAGCGGCTGTGTCCCTAAAGGGCCCGATGATTTAGTATCAGCATAGACCAAGATATCTGGTCAAAGACTGTAGCAGTTCATTACCAGCAGTACAGTTCAAGTACTGAGACATTTATTTTTTGTATAATTGCAGATAATTGATGTGTAGTTTACACATCGAGGCCGATTATTACATGTTTTGGACAGTGAAAGTAAACGAAAAGGGAGAGAATGGTTATCCAGGTTCAGTTTATTTGAGTCTCAGCTGTGAAGGAACTTTCTCAGAAGTCTTAGAGGAACAATGGAGTCCACACACACACACACACACACACACAGCTGTGTATGTGTTGTTCCTGGTTGCGTCGGTCATAGCTGGAATTCCTGAGCTTCAGAGGTGAACGTCCCCCACTCGTCACCGCCGGACTGCAAACGTCTCTGTTAGCAGCGTTTAGGTCACGTGATCCACGGTGGGTTTAAAGACATGCACGTGTGGCTGCTGTGGATTGGACTTTCATGCTGTTTTCAGGCACCAACATCTTGGACAACTACTTTAAAAGTACACATGTGGAAGGCTGAGAAACAGATAAATGTTTTTATATACAGGGCAAATTGGACCAGCACCGTATTTTAAAGCTTGAACTGCCAGCCCAGCGGTTGGTGGTCAGTCTTTGGTAACCTCTGGTTGGGTGGACTATAGGTCGTGATGAGGACGATGCATTCCTCCGCTGACCCGCCCTTTTTGTTTCTAGTGAGTGAGAGAATAAGGGAGACGGAGGGGAAGAGAAGGGCTGTTTGTTCATTTACAGGAACAATCTCTTCTTGAGGCGTGTGAGTCAGATCGACCCACATCAGGAGGAAAAAAAAGAGGGCCTTTATCATGGGATGGGACTGCTGGCATCAGCCTTTCTGAGCAGGAGGAGGAGGAGGAGGAGCAGAGAGAGGCAGGAAGAAGGAGGGTCAACCAAATGATAATCATTGGTAACAAGTTTGGCAAATAGTTACTTTATGCTGGGATCTTTTGAGAATCAAAGCATTTCAAAGCCAAAACAATGGTTCGTTTTGTCTGTTCCACGTCTCGCGCACTTTTAAAAGTTCGTGTTGGGTTTGTGGCATTCCAAAAATAGAAGTTTGACTGTCATTCATCACTATTAGGTACATACAGGTATCCTCTGTGAGCCCTGACAGAAGTGAACCTAAATCATGGTTCAAGTGCAGAGGAACTCTGCACCATCAGCAGTATTTTTTATGTATGTCTAAGTGGATCTACCTCAGATTAGATTTAAAAAAAAAAGTGTTGGGAATCGAAATATATTGTAGAACAATGCATGACTAACCCACCGAACTTAGGGTCTTGAAATTTACAACCTCCAAAGTGAGTAAAAAAGTCAGGTTTATAGCTGTACTTCAGTTGAAGCTAAGATGCAGGAAGTGAATCTGGTCGCTTCTGCAGTGTGTGTGTGTGTGTGTCTGTGTGTGTGTGTGTATGATGATATACTTCAAGCTTGTGTGTTCAGCCCATGGTGGGTATGTTATTCAACCAGCCAGACCTGTTAGGCCACATATTATTCAGCAGTACGACATGTGACCTGGAGTTTTGTCAGTATAGAAGTGGAAAGAATTTTTCTTTCCCTCAAATATACGTTCAACTTTTTTTTTATTTTAATTTAAAAAGACAAAATAGTTTTCCATTGTTTTTGTATAATATTTTCACCTTCAGCAGTACTGCAGAGATCACATGTACAATCTGGAATTCAGATTCTTATGCACTACCAGTGACCTCAAAATAAAAGTCGATGACTGTCTAATGAAGAAATGACACTTAACCCAATGTTTAGAGTTCATCAACTTACACTTGACAAAAGACCATTGTCTTCAGTCTGGATCTTTTGCCAACATTGATATTCACCGTTTTTCTGCTCGGCTATTGTGTGTACATAGTTTCTTGCCCTGATCACAGCCTGGAGTGTGTGTGTCCTCATGCTTGTTTTGTGTGTACTCCTTTGTCCTCGATGAAACCCCACACCTGCCCAGCACCAGGATGATTCCTTTCACCCTGTTGTCATAGTAGGAAGACTCAGAAATAAAAAGTGAGGTCACGCTGTAGGTATGCTGCACTTGATTGTTGGCTAATCTGTGATTCCTGCCAAGTTAGTACCTCAGGTGTGTGTGATGTTCACATCGGAGAACGATACACATTAGTGTGTGAGAGCTCGGGCAGTCAAATATTACAACGATTCATCTGAATAATCATTGTCTAGCTGTCGATTAATCACAATTAGTCATGATTAATTGTGATATTGACCAAGTTTGTTTAATCATATCTGGATGTAGGGGGGGATTATCAGAAATAAGGAGCATGTCATTCTCTTTACGGTTTAAAATTAGTTTATTATAGTCTGATTAATCCTCGACTTGACTTTGAAATAAAAATGTTCAGCCTGTAGTACCAGTATATGTGTGTCAGGGAGGGCCATCATTGGAGGTTTGCTGTTTGTCCCAGAAGACACCAGGAGAGGAATGTGTTCCACGGTTTGCTTTCATTTACTCACCATTCTAATCTGACGCTAAATATTTAGTCAGTAAAGTAGACGACCAGACTGTTAGTGTGTGTACAGTTGGTGTAAACCAACACTGGCCATTCAGCCTGAGACGTAAACAAATGATCTGGTCCTGATGATAATGTTCTCAGCTCTTTACACCACCTTTGGCTAAAATGATCCGCACATTTCTTTTTTATAGCCTTTTGGCCTTGGAGGGGCATTGTGCAGGTCCCCATAGACTGCAGGGTTATTTTGAGATTCAAGATTTAGTTTGAAGTTAGTATGAGAGTCAGATGAGAGTAAGGCACATAATTGTTTGTGTGGAGTTTTTCCATCTGTTATTCTAGGTCTTTTTAAAATCTGTGACATTAAATCAGTGTTCTGTTTGTTTGTCATTTTGCAAACGGTTTTACTGAGCCTTCTTCCTCCTTTGTGCAGATCATGATCGAGTTCTGTCCTGGAGGTGCTGTGGATGCCACAATGCTCGGTAGGCGTCTCATCCTCCTTCCATTGCCCCTCTTTGACCCGCTAGGGCTGGACTGTTGTCTTTAGGAAGACTTTGAAAAGCAGGTATTTTTCTGTGGAGCTGCAGCTCTGGCCTGTGAGTGTTCAGCCAGGCATGATGGGACCTCCATCAATGTGTGGGAAAATCCCCCTGGTCTGTTTTCAATAGATAATCCACACACTCATAACTGTCTCTGCTGCTAACCAAACACAGACACCAGGGAATACATTCTGCTGGTCAGTGCGATCGTGGACATGTGTGAAAGCCTCTGTGATCTGGGATTATTTCCAGCAACAGTATCAGAGACATTTGATCTGCGTCGCCTCATTATGTTTGTTTAACTGGTGTTTTCACATTAGTTCACCTCACGATCACGTCTTTGTCGTTAGAGCTCCAAAAATAGACAGAAAGTTTTTAAATTCTCTCAGCTTCTCACTGTGCTGTTATCCATCTTTGGCCCATTACCTCGTGGTTTCTCTCTCCACCACTTTCCTCCTCCTCACTCTGCTCCTTCCCTCCATATCAGAGTTGGATCGAGGTCTGACGGAGCCACAGATTAAGGTGGTCTGTCGCCAGATGTTGGAAGCGCTGGACTACCTCCACGGCATGAAGATAATCCACAGAGACCTGAAGGCCGGTAACATTCTCCTCATGCTGGATGGAGACATCAAACTTGGTAAGGACTAAAGTTCGTGCATTATCTCTCTTTTCTATTGCCAGCTTGGCAGATTTGGGCTGTAATGTAACAGCACCATTGACAGTCAATGACAAAGGTCAACATAAAAGTTAGTCCTAAAAATCTCTTCCAAAAGATTAAGCCTGTGAGAACTGGACGAGGATCATACAACATTTATTTCTTTTGCCCTCCCATAATTCAGTGGGAAAACCATCAGCTGGCCAAAATGATGCATGAAAAGATTCACAAATAAACCCTACATTATGTCAGCAGCAAATTGCAGGTTATCTCTGAACCAGCGAGTTCCTCACTTTCCCTGTCAGATGTAGTCTCCCTCACTTTCTCTCTCACACACACACACACAGACACACACAGAGAGAGTCAGACGCCCTGTGCCCCTCCTGGTATGTCGTAGGAGTATAATAAGTGAGCATTGTGAGGGGAAACTGCATTCTTAGAAATCTTGCATCTTTCTTTTTTTGTCTTTTCCCACAAATGTGTGCACCTCTCTCAGCGAGGCCACTGTTTGTGCCCTGATGTTCTTGACATCTGGCCTGTAGTCTTTACAGTGGTCACCTGTATTCTTCAGACACAGGCTAAACATTTGATTTTATTTATTGACGTTATTTTTCATCTTAATGGTTGAGGTTTTGAAGTAAATGAATGGTTTAACTGCATAACCGAGTGTACACGTTTGCTTTTTTTCAACTTCAAATATTTTTTTCTTCATTTTGTTAGCTGTTGGTTTGACTTTTGACAAAGATCAATTTTCACTTCTGACAACTGTGATCTCATCGTTTAAATGACAAATAATGTTCAATGTTAAAAATAGTTTCTTGCTCCAACACTACCATGATTTACATCACCATGGAATCTTCCCTTAGACATCATGGCCTGACATAATCACAGGGATGTGCCTGTTGTAACTTATGTGACTTATCTGACTCTGAGTCACTTATCAACTACACATTGACCCAAACAAGAGAGCAATTAAATACTGTTAAGGTCAACTGTGGTCGTACACACTCTTGTTAGAGTTGATATTGAACTCTGTTCTAATTTCCACTTCCACTAAAACACTTTAATACACTAGGCTGTTGTATTTAGTTGTAAATAAATGATTACCACCAAATCATAAAATCTTTCTTGAATAAACAGTTTGTGATTGCATTGGGGAACTCAGTGTACAGTAGGTTCCACCCAGTGACGCAGCATATTTTCACAGTACGTGTTGGGGAGTGTCACTTCCTGAGTCTTCGCCTTTTGTTTTCTTTTTAAATTTTGTATAAATTCTTTAAAATCTTGACCTAAAGGTTTTACCAGAATAATTGGTGCACAGAGAAGGACCTTTGCTGTTTTTATGTTTTATATAAAGAGTAAAGTCTGAATGCTGAGCGCGAGGCTGCAGCAGATGTAATGACACGTTTGTCTGAGGAGTCGAGGAGTTTGATTTGCAGCCTGTAAAACCACAGCAGCTCTGCAGCCTCGCGAGCAAAAGCTCCTGCCAAACACTTCTCAACAAGAACAGACCCCTCATAATATTCTGCCTTACAGAGAAGAAAAAACATATTCACTATTCTTCTTTTAACGGGTCACGTCTGGTTATGTTCATTTCGTGTTATTTGTACATTTTTCTGCCTGTCACAGTTTAATATTAAGTCATGACATTTTTTACTCAAAGGACTTTTAATTTATATATACATATAAATAAAAAATGCATATATAGATATATTTAAAATATATCTATGTAAATATATGTATTTGATATATATTTGTTTTTTTAATAAATAATATATCTCTCTCTCTATATATATATATAATATATGTGTTTACTTTCACATACTTATTTTGTCTTCTCTGTTTCTTTTTGTAGCTGACTTTGGTGTATCTGCAAAAAACAACAAAACCCTACAGAGGAGAGACTCCTTCATTGGAACACCATACTGGTGAGTAAAACAGTATCTCACTCCACCCACATAAATAATGCATTAAGGAGAAATGTAAATGGATCTCTGTGAAATATCAATCACAGTGTAAATGTGTTCCACCCATATACATTTGAATCCGATCTTCCTTGCTACCTAATAAATATTTTGCTCGGACAGTGAACCTTGCTCTGCAGCCATTCTTCCAAGTGAATAAACTCATAGCAGGTTAAATATTGACCAGTGCAGGTCAATAACCATGAGTGATGCCCTCCCATCTGAGTGAAAACCTGACCCCACCTTTCTGTTGCACAATGCTGCAAAGCTCTGGAAATAACATTGGAAGTGTGTGTTTCTCATGAATGCACTGATAAGAGCGGCGGCACAAAAGAACTGATGGAAAATCATCACATCTTTGCTCCATGTAGATGCGCTCAAATCAGCTAAAAAAAAAAGGCCTGATCTGCAACCTACCCTGAACGTTTTAAATCTCCCTTATTTTCTGAATCAACTTGTAAACATGTCAGTGCTCCAAAACTACTATTATTTCTGTGTCACGTACTTGTCCTTATTTTTCCAGGATGGCTCCAGAGGTGGTGATGTGTGAGACCATTAAGGACGCCCCCTATGACTACAAGGCTGATATCTGGTCTCTGGGAATAACACTGATAGAGCTCGCCCAGATTGAACCCCCGCACCATGAACTCAACCCCATGAGGGTGCTGTTGAAGATCGCCAAGTCGGAGCCTCCCACCTTAGATCAGCCACACAAATGGTGAGATTGGGGAGAAGTGCATTTGTTATTTTATTATTATTATGATTAGATTTCACCAGTCACTGCAGCAGCCATCCCGAGAAGAATCCACAGAGATGAGTCTTGTGCTCAGTGACATTCAGTATCTGGGAGTGATTTGTTTTGGTGGAAACCATGCCTTCATTCCTTCCCACTCTCTTCCCTTTCTTCCTCTATGTTTTGGATGAATCCCTTTTCTCATGTCATTCAAGGTCGCCGGAGTTCAACGACTTCCTGAAGAAATCTCTGGATAAAAACCCCGAGACTCGTCCATCTGCAGCGCAACTGATGGAGGTAGGCAGTGTGTGCAATTATAAGAGAGTGGGTCTGGTACAGTGCTTCACTTTGATATATGACCAAACTTCGTCCTCCCTTCTTTCCTTATCTTACACTCACACGCTTGTATGGAGTTTAATCTTCTATTTTTGGCCTGAATGGATTGAAATACGCCTGAGAAGGAAACGGTGCCCCCTCAAGGGCATTGGCATAAGTGGAGGTAGAATAAAGGGAAGTGGAAAAATGTATTCTAAGTGGTGCAGAGACTGAGGATGGTACGGTATAAATATGAATAACAATTGTTAGCCTTTGACTGTATTTTCATTTGTGGGGAACATTGAAATATTTTTAAAAGCAACACAAAAAGCTTTTACATATTTCACATGCTTGCCTGCATGCACACGCGGGACACAGATCCCGGCGGATTTTTTTCTGTTTCATGAAAACCTCAAAATGTTGTTTGAAAGCAGCGAGCAGGGTGTGGATTAAAGCATGTGAGCAGCGGTTATTAAAATTCAGAGCCACAGCTTCCTGTCTGTATCCCACAGCTGAGGGAATGCCAACTATTTACATTCCCACTCTCAGCCAATGGTACCCCAGGATATACCACCGCTCTGCCACCGACGGCCAATCGGAGAGAGCCAGAGATGAAAATCTGGACCCTCTGGGGATTCTGGGAACGTGCTCTCCAGCTGGGTGGGGTTCTGGAGGGGTGGACAGGCGTGGCCCGCTTTTTGGTGCCGTGCTGGAAGTTTTAGATGTTTATCATGCCTGCTGCTTCCAACGGCTGTCAGATAGCATTCACTGCAGATGGTTTTTGCAGTAACTCCATTAGCTTCTGGAAGCTAAAGGATGATCATCGGATGTTAGCACAAATGTGTCAGAGGAGGAGTGTGTCTGCAGAAATCTAGTGTGTATATGTGAATGCATATATGTATGTAATGCATATACATACATGCAAATATGTATATATATAAAACTAGATCACTCCTTGTTACTGGTTTAATGCTCCAGCTCTGTCTTCACAACTGTTTCCATTACGTCTTGCATGACAGGGAGGAATGCATACACAACAACTTGACACAGTATCTGTCACAGTGGCTTCTCTACTGGCTCTACTGAAAAAAACAAAACACCCAGACTATTTTTCTGCATGGAGTTTTATGTGTGCGTCGGGGCATCGTATGGTTTTGTGCTGTGTATTTGTACTTTATGAGAGCCGTAACTGACATCAAATGTTCCTCAGCTGTGGAACATAAATAGTCAGTATGGCTTTGATAAGACCCCTAACCCTGAATAACCTGACTTTGAATTGGTCACAGAGTCAGATCTCAACTCAGGCCTCGCTGTTCACGTGTTTAAAAAACAACCAGGTCAATACGATGTCTGATTTAATAGGTACACATTAAAACATTTTTGTGTCAAGCTATGTTAAATTTGATTAAGAAAAAAATCAGTATAAACGTCAACATTTGAATCAACTTTGAATGGAACACTGTTGAAATGGTTGAGGGTTTTATCCCCCAAAAACTATATTGATACATTTGATCATGATTAATCATGATTAAACTGCTAAACGTTTTATTTGTGTCCAATGCAAATGTTGTATTTATTCATATAGAAATATACCAAGAAAAATCCTGACATTAATCATGGTCTAAAAATAGTAAGGCATTATTACCCGGATGTTTGAATAAAAGAAAGAATGCTGTAAGAGTTTGGGGAAGTTCTGAAAAAATATTTCTCAGCGTTTCCTCATTGTTCTTTCAGAAAGATTAAATCAACAAACCTTTCCCCTACATTTATCTTTTATGAAAATATGTTTACTGTCTCTTAAAGTCTCTTATTAAAAAGTTGCCCTACACTGTGGACTTCCCCATGTCACTGTGAACCGTAACTGTATGATGATAACAATCTGCCAGCATATCTCTGTCTTTTGTCTGACTGGATGGCATGTCATCAGGAAATGTGGTTGGTGTCACGGTCGGGTCCTGATTGAGCTAGTGTTGTGTCTCTCCACACATTTTTCTATATTTGTGTTTGCTGATTTTTCAAGCCATGTGTTTGTGTTTTCAAAAAAAAAAATTTAAATTTGCTGTGAACGCGATAAGCAACATGAGAGCACGTTGCTTATCTTCGTGATGCTAAAGGCTCATCAAATGTACGTGTGGCCTTAGTGCAGCTCTTCAGTCTCAGTCAGTTTCTTGACCTGATTAGTGACTTCTCAGACCCGGCTCAGGACTCAGCGCCGAGGGTCAGGTCTAGGATCATTACAGTTGAAGAACGGCACCCATATTGGTTCACGACGTGGACTGTGGTCAGTGAGTGTTTTTCCTCCCGCGGCCACAGACTCTGATGTCTGTCCTCTGAGTTCTGGGTAAATGTACAAAGTGCAAGGAACCACTTTAGAAAAGAACACTTTCCAACACATTAGGAGGATTAGTAGAAGTGTGTCATGGTGTAGCAGCTGAAAACGTCCTGGAAATAGTTTGAAGAAAAGAGTGGCCACTTAACTAGTTAACTAGTAACATGTTTGGATAGCCATCAGGCCAGTACAGGTCATGGCTAACCACCTTAGACTTTACACAAAGAAGACTGTTACCATCTACAGCACTGGTGTCAAACCTGAGGCCCGCAGCCCATTGAATGTGACACCCCTAATCTACGGTCTGTAATCAGTGACAGTTTTCAAAGCTTTTCTTTGCATTTTTAAAAGTTTACAACCTTTAAGGGAAATGAGTTTTGTAAAATAGAAATGTATATAAAATAAATATAAACATGTTTTACTAAGATATATTCATTATGCTAACAAGCCAAATTAGGCATTAGCTGACTGTTGTTTGTCACTGCAGAAGTTAAAAGCTAAGACTAATGCAAGCTCAGACACACACACACACACACAAGCTTATACACGGTCCACTGCACACAGCAGCACTTGTGGCCTTTCCCCTCGGTCAGCTGTTCCAAATGAACTTTCACAGCAGTGAAAAGCATCTCAATAATAGATGAAAGGTCATTTATTCCTGCGGCCACTTTACTTTTTTATTGGCCTTTTACTCCTCTTTGTACTTTACTGATTACTGCCTTGTTTCCTCCGTGGTGAAGTATACGTCCTTTTAGATCCTTTAATGTTACGAAAGTCTGTGAAAACACTTGCACTGGAAAACCTCCGCTGCTGCTTCTTGTTGTGGCTGCTCAGGAATGGTCATGTGATCTATCCAGGAAGTATCTTACTTCTGTTTCTACTTTGATTTCCCCCCCTCACCTCTGCACCTTTGTGTCAAAGACTAAAAAATAACAAAAATAAAAATGTGTTTTCTTTTGATGCATTTCCTCCATTTAAAAAAACATTGAAGTGACTCAGCCATTGGTTTACTCAAAAGGCTGTTATTTTTACCCAGAAGTCCAGTGGTGTAGTAACAATGTAATCAACAGACATTGTTTCATGTCTTTTTCATCCTGCCGTTATCTCTAATTTTCATCTACCTCTTCACCTCTCCTGTGTCAAAAACAACAACAAACACGTTCTCGTGTCTCGTTTGTCACGTCAGTCATTTTGGCTAAGCACTTGACACTTCCCAATCTTGTCGTCGTTATCTCTCCGACTGCTAATTAACATCATCACCTCTCTCACTTCTCTCTCTTCTTCTTGTGTCACACAGCATTCGTTTATAAGATCCATGACGTCCAACCGTCCGCTGCGGGAGCTCGTGGCCGAGGCCAAGGCTGAGGTCATGGAGGAAATAGAGGACAATAGAGAGGAAGGAGAGGAGGAAGACGCCATGGAGCTCACTGTGGTACCAAAAAGATTATTTGTTTTGTTGCAATTACATATAAAGGTTGTGAGGTTAATAACATTAAATGAATCCTCATCCTATTTTAGGCCAGGCTATTTCTATTGTATATATAAATGAGATTTTCTCACTTAATATCAGTATTGTGCCATTTATTGACAGATTTCTTCTTAGTCTCACACCTAAGACAGACACGTTCCATTTCTAATTCGAGGAGCATGATCGTTCATCCAAGAATTTCCTGTTTTTTAAACGATGAGTCTCCTGAGCCAAAGTCATTCATAAACCTTCACTGGGCATAAAATTAGAAAGTGAACGTGGCATGAAAGTTCAGTTTCAACACAAACAAAAGAACAGAAACCGGAACCCTGGCATTCAACCCACACCCACCTGTGTTTAAATATAAGTGCTGCGTTTGACATTGATGTCGTACGGAGACGTTGACAACAAAGGCAGCTGTAGCTCCAATGGAATACATGAGTTCAGGTGACACATTGTTCTATGGTTCAGTGAAAAAAAGGACTGTTTCCTGTAAATGTTCAGCATCTGTGGGTGGACTCACAGACTTTGAACATGAAAACAGTGTTTCTTTAGTGGCATTTGTAATTATAGAACACACTCACACAGGGTTGATAAAACTGCTTAACCACTCACCTTCTGTGAGCAGTTGCCTGAAAGCACCTCATCCATTAGCATCAGAGCTAAAGCTGAAGGTTAAAGACATTAACATTTAGAAGAACGTGTCACACTTGTAACTCTTCTCTTACACAATCTCTCCCCCTCAGTCTCCGGTTAAGGAGCCATGCCAGACCAGCCAGACCAGTTTGGAAGGAGACCAGTCTCTTGATAACCCCAGCCCCACTACACTCGCACCAACAACCCCAGTTCCTCCAACCAGGAAGGAACCTGTACCAGATACACCGTCAGAGAAGCAGCCAGATGCCGTCATGGTGGCTCCCGTTCCTCTGCCCCGGCAGAATCTGCCCCCAAAGCGTCCAGAGGATTTGGGTGACAAACACGAGGACGAGGTCCTTCTCGAGTCTGAGAGTGAAGCCTCGACGAAAACGTCTTGCTCTGACTCGGGCATTGAGGATGGAAAGAGTAGTCCCACGTCTGAGGAGAAGGTGTGATTTTTTTTGTGTGTGTGTCATCTTTCGATATTACAATTGAATTTTTTTGTCTATATTCTGGTACATTTTCCCGACTTTTTTCCGTGGTTGTATAATTGAAAATAATTTGATGTTGTTATTCTAGGTTGTTATGGAGACTCCAGAGACAGAGCAGCCCCCGTTGCCCCCCCTTGCATCAGCATCTGAGGAGCAGGTTGTCATCATTCTTGACTCATCCGATCTAGAGAAGCCCAAAATCCAGGAGACAAGCCAAGAAAACGATGTCACATTAAATGGAAACTCAACGGTGCCAAGTCCGAGTAAAACTGTCTTTCCTTCACCTGCTCCCGTACCCACGTCAACCCCTACGTCTGTCCCTGCCTCCAGTCCTCAGCCTAACGGCAGGATAACCAGAGACGTCGCCGGTGAGACATCAGTCGGAGGAAATGCTGAACCCGTCTCACCGTATATCAACGGAGGAATTCTCAACAAGCGGTACTCTTACTCGGGCAGCATATTGTCTGAGAGCATGGACATGTCCATCCACAAGGAGAACATGGTGATCACTTCACGGGTGAGTCACCAGGAGGCAAATCCTTTGAAGTATTTCTGCAGGGACACTGCCTGCTGTCTGTATTTTCTCTTTTTCTCTTTTTCCCTAAAAATGATCCAAATACCCAGCAGGTGGGGGAATACTCAGCTTTAGGTATATCAGCAGCGAATAGTAGTTGTAGTTTGTGTATTTGGATTTATTTTGTCATAACTTTTGGAGGTGTACAGCTCTCAGGAACATAGTGCTTTTCTTTTTCTATGACTCCAGTTATTTCATTCTTCAAATACCTAGAATTATTTTACCTTTTTCAAGTACTCCCTTAAGGAAAATACTTTGTGCATTTTCTGGGTGTTAACACAGCTGCTGGCTGTGAAACCTTCGATTTCAAGCCAGATTCTTTAACTACTTGGTCAGGACGGCCTTCAATGTTACATCAAGAAAGGATTTTGCGGCATGTGTTGTCAATGTTTTAATGAAAGTAAAAGCAGTAGTGAGAATGAATACCCCTCCTTGGAAAAAGTACTTCTTAGTCCCACAGAGGAACTGAAACTTCATTGTGTTGTGTTTTGGGGTGTGGGAGTTTAACATCTGCAACAGAGTCTGTCTCCTGTTAGACTCACAGCACACACGATATTAACAGATTAACTCAATAAACACCGAGTTAAAATAGCATCATTAACATATTAGATTATTATTTACTAGATTGAAATCTGTCATTTTTTTTTCTTCTTCTTTCTTTGATTTTTTTTTTCAAGCGGTAGAACTTAGAACTTGTGAGGGAGGGACCAATGACCAAACTTTACCATTACATACTGTAACAAGCTTGTCTGAAGTAAACGATGCAACACTTTCCATTCATCAGCACCAGCAGCGTGCTTTGTGTGGACACAGTTTGGTATTCATGAGGATGAATGGACGTTTCTGTGCTGCTCATTCTCTCTCAGCTGCTTCTGGATGCTTATAGGCTGACTGTGATGGAGATCCTGTTGACAGCGCCGGGCCTTGTGGTATCTGGCCGTGGTATGTTTTCCAGAACAGATTATTCAGCAGGCGTACAGTATCTGCCAGCAGCCTGACAGTGAATGGCTCTGTCTGTGTTTTAGGATAGCGGTGCAGAACATGCAGACACTTTGGATCTGCTGCTTTGTGTAGCATCAGTGTGTGTTTCTGTGGGTGGGTGTGACTGAAGACCCCACTGTTTGCATTGGGTTGTGAAATGATGCAAGTGTGAGCAGGACGACTTTGATGTGTGTGTGTTTTTATGACTGATGAATTGAGGATGTATGTTCAGTCATTAATAGTACAGCATTACTCAGACTGTTGAGTTTGAAGTCTTTTGACTGTCATCTGGGTTAGTACAGTTTATTAGGTGCAGATTGTGTTTATTAGTAAAGAGAAAGTAAAACAATGGGAGCTGTCAAAGTTTCAGATCCGGTGTCTCTCCTCTGTAACAGAAGCATCAGACAGACTGATGTGGAGTCTGTTTGCTCAGCTGTGGTGGCTCCATGTGGTGACCTCC